TAACGTTTCCTTACACAAGGAAATAAACCTATAAGACGAGTGTATAAGAATGTAAGTTAGACAGATTAATGGAGATTTAGATTAGTCAGACGTTCGATTATTCTTGTTGAAGATGATCATGAACTCCCTAATCTGTTAATGTATGATGATATGGCTGTGTAGCTGTATAACTTATCTGTTATAATTATCAGACATGATATTACGCTACACTTTATGCTTACATGCTGTAGTTTAGCCTTAAAATTATGGCACGTCATGAATAAGCTATGTCTAACTCAGATTGTCCAACTATATTTAATCATTGGTCATCCCAGTACAACCTAAACAATTGGCTTTTATGCAACAACTGTTTTAGGTTTCGCTTAAATTAATTTGCAGCAATAGGAAGGCTTGTGGAGTATAAACTAAGAATAAACTAGAAAATATTTCTAACTGCCTAACAAAAATTACTCTAGCTCCTTTAAGTCCAGCATTGCGTCTAGAATTTATTGGTGTAAGTACTTCCATTTTACTGCACTATTACAAGCCTACTAATAATTAATGTATGCCATGAAATTAAAATTCCTTTATCCTTAGTCGATTGCGGAGATGAAGATCAACTATCCTCAACTATCAGCCTATCTTTTTATCTCTATTCGTATTTCTAATCAAAATTTCAGAAAGCTTTGGTGTAGAGATGATGCATACTGTACTGTATAGTAATGACTATTGCCAAGTCTGCGCCTTTTCGAATCTAGATTACCTATTTTAAGCCAAGGACATTGCATTCTAAATAAAAGCACCTGCAAATTTGGGGCAAAATTATCGTTAAAAAGAGAAACCCTTGTCAGATTAGATCTATAAACATTGATAGCAGATTACAATGTGGACTTGTATATTAAGTTTACAGCCTCTATTTCATACCGTTAAAAACATCTTTTTGGGAAGATATTCGGACTTTAGAATTGAGCTAGGTTACCCGCATTAGGTGCATTGACAGCATATGACAGTATGTACAAGTGCATCATGTTTATAGACTCTTTTTCGATGTCAATGCAGTCCCTTCTTAAATGACATTAGAACTTTATAATTGAACCAGATTAGCTACCTATGATCGTCATCTTTTAGTGTATCCTAAAATGTTTCCCAAAGCCAGTAATACATTCAAAAGTTTTTTGTAGCATAGATAAAGTTAGTGGAAATTGATCCTTTTGAAATGATGGTGTTGGATTGAAGAGCAATGAATTACTAGAATCATGGCGGAGCTATCTTCTTTGCCGGTAACTACTACATATTGGAAGTTAGTGCTAGATATATAATGCTAAAAACGGGCAGACCATTCATACAACTAACATAAGAAGGAAAACCGACGAAAATAGAATACGGAGAAATTAGAGTTCGCAACTTGGCCATACTCTCAATGAAGAATCGATAAAGTTATAACTCTATCTTAAGTCTAAATTATTATGGTATGCGTGCACAAGATTGTCAGACCCATTAATTAATTTATAGAACTAAGATAGAAAGGAAATCGACGAAATTAGAATACGAAAAGGTTTCTCTTTGCAACTTTGCTGTGCTGTAATTGACGATTCGTCAAAATCAATATTATAAAATTGTATTATTACTCTATATCAACGATAAATCCTTATAAAAAAATTGGCACATTCATCAATAGAAGTTGCAGAACCAACATAAAAAGAAAAGCTAACCAAAATAACATACGTCAAGAATTCAGTTTGTGATTTACTCTAAATTTTTATACAAGATTGACTGATCCAGTAATAGAGCTAATACAGAAAGAAAAATAGACGAAAATATGAATACGTCGAAAATTCACTTTACGACTAGGCTATGTTCTAGTTGACATATCGTAAATTTTGCTGCTCTATCCTCAACGATTAAGTATCATTTTTACCCAAACACTGGGTCGAACCCCGACCGATAAAAATACCATATAAAGAGAATTAAGGATAAAAGAGAGATACTACTAGCCAAGGGTGGAAGAAATTGTTGTAGGAGTTATCAGGTATGTCAATGGGTGTTACGGTTTAAGATATTATTAATTAACAATAAGATAATTTTATTGAAGTAGAAATAGACGGTTAAGTTTAGATAATTGTAAATATTATGATCTGTTGCAAAAATTGTGATATTCAATCGTTAATGGACTTCCATTAAAGATTGTATAGAAGTAAGTTACTTAATATGCCAATGACGTGCAATAACCAAAATGGCGGTTGTCACCCTTGTAGGAAATCTGTTAGATCTTAAACGGATTTAAGTTGTTAATTGGGGCTATATTATTATTAGCTCATAATATCAATTAACACATATTTGTCTGATAGTAATCAATATGATTACAAAAGCTATAGAAAAGACTAAGTTATGTATAAGAATAATTAACAGCTTGCGAAGGTATAGAATTGGTACAAGTATGGCTAAGTATATAAGGAGTTGTAATTTACCTCGCTCAGGAGAGGAGAAAAATACGGAGACCTAATAAGTTAGTTTAGTAAATTTATCCAGACACTTCTAGTTCGCCTTTTACTGTTGACTGAGGTCCTCTGCTAAAGTAGAGTGAGTAACGACGCTTGGTGGCAGTTTTACTGTACGATAGAAGAGATTAGGATAAGCGTGGAACGGGAATTTTATTGTTTCAAACGACGTTGTGACAATGGGTAAAGAATAAACTACCTAGATGCCCATGAAGGAAGCGCCTATTACAATATTGCCGCTACGTTACAGGGGATCGCCATTGACATTTTGGGGAAGATAACCTTATCCGGTCTGGAAAGGAATATAAATTGAATATCATAGACTAGTAGCATAGGTTCCAGGAAGCGATCTTCATAGCCTAGGCCGACGGTATACATATGGCATGGGAACTTGGACTGTTCTTCACTAGCTTAATAAGTGCATACTTGTCCTAAGGCTAAGATAGAGGAACTTCTAGAATATTGCTTTTCGGCTTCTCCAGCAGTTCAACTTTTGAACTTTAACGTTCTACTATTTGCTTTCTATATTGCCTCGGTAAAACAAGTACAATATGGATAGAAGGACTATTAATAAAAAATTAGCAAAAATCAAAGTACATAATGTGTATTGCATTGCAATGCTGGAGATTGGGGCAAAGCAAAGTGATGCCTTTCACAAATTGATAGAAACAATGTTAGGCCTTGCATTTCGTATGTATTACCGTATCTACCGTAGAAGAAACTATAGCCATACTATAAATGAATATCGATTTTATTGCACCTAAATTGACAAAATTAAAAGTAATCCATAGGAGTGGGCTAGCAATTTTTTGATGGAAATACACTTTCATGCGTGAGCTCATCGTGATCTATTATCAATTATCGAATTGAATTTGTATACTCGTAAAGGAAATTCCAATGCAATAAAGCTGAGATAGTGATAGAATGGCACAATTTCATGATATAATCTTTCAATACTAGTTTATTCACAAATAAAAAGGATTAAAATACTACAGAAAGTGATCAGCACCTGCATGCCTTGGCTACAGATTGGTTTAGTACTTCAATACTCTACTTTTACTTCTATCTCATCTAAAACATTGAATATACTCGTATATTGTTTAAAAATCATTTTGCTTCCCTGACTTATTAATAATTGTTCATCTAGCTATTCGCCTACTTAGATAAGAATAAAACAATTTAGCTCACGATTAGTTCATGAGTACTAGTAATGAATATTCTATTCGCCTGCTTGAGGCAATTATTGGATCCGTTAGCAAGAAATTACAAAATCATGGCAGCTTTTACAGGTATGTCAAGTCTAGGCTACGACTGGAAACTCCTGAAGTGGATTTTGATAACTGCGTGTCTGTATCTTCAAAATCGACATCTTGTTCTAGATCATAGGCAAATAGCAGAAAGTTAACAATGATCCAATACTGGTCTTTAATCACAGAAATAACATCACAATAACTACTGTACTTCTATAACCTGTCCTGCTTATTCGTTCTAATTATTTATTCAATTAAGTACTCTAGATGAAGGAAATATGAGC